GGTCTCCTCGCCGGACAGCTCTTGGAGCGAGGTATGTGAGGACCCGAGGCTGGGACCTGCTGCATCTGGAGCCACTCCTCTGGCGCTGCTCCATGAAAGTGGGCAGGATGAAGTTTTTGTGAAGGACCAGAAGAACCGCAGTGAGGAGGAGACGGCTATGCTAGCAAGAGGCCAGGGCAGGTGAGATGGCACCTGGGGGGGTGCAGGGGGAGGATGGGGGCATTTCTCTCATCCCAAGAACGTGGCTTGTGCCTACCCTTTTAGGAGCTCATGACAAACAACAGGTGTTTGTCTGCTGCCCGCAATGGCGTGGTGGCGATGGTCACAGTTGACACCTAGTGGTGGCCAGTGCATGAAGTTGGGACCGAACCCCATCCACATCACCTTGCTGAAATTTGAAGTCCATCTCAGGTTTGGAAGTGTAAAGATATTTCTTGCTGTTTGCAGAGTAAAGGCTGTATGATGAAGCATCTGTAGCAGGTGTAGTTGGGATCCAGGCATGGCATGTAATTAAATATAGGCAGCATGTAGGCCTGGCCATATGCGCCTGGCCAGATTTTCTGGGTTTGGGCAGAGTTTGTGCAAGAATGGTCTGAGACGTCTGAGAGATTGGATAATAAAGATGTTTTACCCAGGGCCTTGTATGTTATAAGAGGGCAAATGCTATCATGTTCTTTTCTGTATTATCAATGTATCTGTGTTTATATAGTTTTAGCTATCTATATTGCAAAAATTGTGCACCGCTTTTTACAAGAGCATCCCGATTTGCTCACTTTTCATTTCGTGATTCACATCTGTAGCAAAGCAAAGGGCCCCACTGACTTGCTCTGAGCAAACCCGCTCTGGCCTGGTGTGGGGTGTTTGCTGCTGGAACATTTGCTCGGGCGGGCAGCCCTGATGCCCGGCACGTGCTATGAGAAGCTCCACAGTATTTGAGGTAGCAGAGAAGACAACTCTCCACAGGGGGATGCTACACGTTCCCCTGTATATCTGCAAGCAGGCTGAGTCTTCCCCCTTCAAATCTGGTTCTGCCGGCTCTGGGTTTTTAATTGCATCTGCTTCCATTTGCAGTTTGGTGGGATTTCCTCCAGCTTTTCACCGAAGACCCTGGCCCTAGGACTGCAGAGTCAGAGGCCCCATCTGGGTGCATATCTCTGACCTGTGCAGCCTCTGGCATGGCAGAGGTGCTGGCCAGGAACTTAAGCATTTTTGAGTGCTCTTCTCCTTTGCACATAAGCAGCTGATGTTATCTGTTGGGCAACATTAGGCTTTCCCCCCGCCCCCGTTCTTTTACCCAGAAGATTGTTTCTTTTTATGTCCCTGGAGAGGCAGATGTGCTAGTCATGAACAGAGGTGGTGCAAGGAGAAACTAGCATTTTACCCGCAGTGTCCTCTCCTGCGTGAAGCCACATTGACCTTTCTGTTCACAAAGGTGGAAGGCGAGGAGGTTCACCTAGAGGTCTAAACCTTGTCCCTGAGCTGAAACAAGCTGTTTCTGATTAATTTCCAGGATGATGGAGGAGGGGGAAGCAGCCATGGGAGGATATGAAGATATCCTTGGGCAGAGGCACTCCGATGTCTCCACTGATCTGTACAGCTCACAGTTCGAAAACATCCTAGACAATGCATCTTTATACTACAGTGCGGAGTCGCTGGAGACGTTGTACTCGGAGCCTGATAGCTACTTCAGCTTTGAGATGCCACTCACTCCCATGATCCAGCAGCGCATGAAGGAGGGTGGCCAGTTTTTAGATCGGACATCAGCCTCGGGCCAGCCAGATGTCCTGCAGCTTCCCCCTGACGGGGAGGTGAAGGGCTGCGGTGAAGGCATCACCAATGGCTTAAGGGACGTAAGCGAAACGCTCTTCAGAGGAGACGTCACGGAAATCCCTCGCTTGGAAAGGTAAAAGCAGTGGGTGAGCTTTCTGTGTGCCTGCTGATTTTTCCTCAATGTCCATTTACTTCAGTGGACTGTCGCAGAGTGTAGTGTTGCCTCTTTCAACACTGCACATTTTCTACAGAGAATAATTCCCAGTGTGACAGAGTGAGCTGCATGAGAGAAGCGACCCGTCCAAAGCTGCCGTTCATTAGAAAAGTGCAAAGTTACTTTACGAAGGTTTTGTAGGTGGTACTTGTGTCAATAAAAGGCTGGCTGGTATTGTCGCATCTCTGGGACCTGTCCCTGGAGGAGTTAGTTGCTGTTACAGATGAACCTTGTTCAGCTCCAGCTTTACCTGAATTTGTTAGCAGCAGTTTTAGGGACAATAGCATCCCATGCACACGGATGAGTTGTCCAAATGCAGTTTGTGATTTGGATGTTAAAGGTGTGTCTCTGGGCATAGCTTTTCCTCTCTTGAGGTCAGTGGGAGTTTTGCCGGTTACTTTGGCTGGGACGAGGTTTTGCTCCCACCACATTTATGTGATTAGAGACTGTTAGCTGCTTTTTTCATTTATGCACTAGTTACTGATTGAGAGAGGAGGGAGCGGTGCAAAAATGTTAATTTATGTTTAGGTAAAGGGAGAGATAAGAAAACCTATTAAGAGAAGTGTCATGTGGAAACTAGGCTAATTGGTTAGAAAATACCATGTAATTGTAGAAATTCACTCTATGAGCAAGCTTTCCTCATTGTGTGTTGTCGGAGAAGGTGGGGAGAGTGAAAAGCAGCGACAAGCAAAAGTGGGGGGTCGAGCCAAAAGCAGTCATCTGCAGAGGGGTGAGGGACCTTGTGAGTGACAAAGATGCCCGAGGTCTCCATCTTTCAGGGACAGGATGTTATCTAAAAGTCTTTAGACTATTCCCTTAGTTGGGATTAGTCTAGTCTGAGCTTTCCTGGGAGTCAGTGGTGGGAAGTCTTTTATCTCTTTTATTCCTTTTGTGCTATTGTGAAAGAAGTCCTCTGAGCAGAAGTAGTTTTGCTAACTATTGATTAAGGTACAGTTTGCCCTTAAAAGAGTGGGCAGAAGGACTGAGCAATTTAGAATGTTTTTTCCATCAAACCTACTGGAAAAAAGTTGTTTAAATCTGGTAGGACCCTGAGCTGCTTGATGCCAATAGGCAGTAAGTGACTGCTAATCTGCTACAACCAGTGCGGAGCCAGAAACTGTGGTCAGTCCTGACACTTGAAGTTCCTTGCATGTACTGAAACTGGACATTGCCATGAGACTGCACAGTGGAGGACAAGCAGCGCATACAGACTCTGATTCTGTTACCCTGTAGTTGCAGCATCTGAAAAGTACTGTCAAGTAAGGCCCGCATCGGCTCATCAAGATGGAAGTTACTGCGAAGACAAGGTGTGCTTAGATAATGCTTAGAGACACATTAGGTGCCCGCCTAGTGTGGATGTCATTAGGAATTCAGTTAATTTTAGTTTAACTTTACAGCCATAGCCATAAACCAACAGAAGATTTTAAAATCATTTTTTTTCCCCTTAAGAAAAAAAAGAAGAAGGGAGTGCCCCCCAACAGCAGGTTTGTTAAGAAGCTCTGCTGTTGTGGTCTGCAGGGCTCTGTTGGGGATGAGCCCTGAGGGCTCCCTCTGTTAAGGTGGGTGCCGATAAAGAGTGCAGCTGCAGCAGTACAGTGAGCCACGGATGTGCCCAACAGGGTAATCCTCTGGACAATAACCTTATTAACACCCCCCCCCTCCCCCAATATTCTAATACGTTGTATTGGACCAGGGTACAGGTGCTGTATGTTGGAACTGGCGATGAATCAGTGTGTTACAGTGCGTGAGTGAGGAGCACTGTGTGCATGCTGGGGGCTACATGGGATTTATTCACAGAGGGGTCAAGATGGTGCCTCGCTGTGATGTTCAGGTGAACTAGACATGGCTGCCTGATCCGTGGGTACTATTTCTAAGAGTTTGCATGTGTGGTTGGTTGTGTTGTCTGAAGCAGTCCTAGACTTCGTTTTTCCCCACCAAAAGTCCACACGTATGATACGGCTGTGGCACCTTTGTGCCTTCTGCTGTAAGTCCTTGTTTCCTACAGTGAACCTTGCTTCCTACAGCAAACCTGCGGTGGTGTTAGGGCTGTAGGCTACGGAGCATCAAGGGGCAGCTGCTGAAGCAGTCCAGCTCTCCCGGCGCACGAGGT